GGCGCCCGCCCCGAGGCCCCTACCCGAGACGATGTTGACGATGTGGTAGGGGATGCCCAGCGCCTGGTAGAACTCCTCCGCCGTGGCGATCATCTCGTCAAACATCTCCCAGGACTTGTTGTCGTGCGGCGAGGCGTAGACGAACTGCTCGATCTGCGCAGAGAGCCCCGTCGCGTCGGCCCGGGCCTCACCGCCGCGCCGCCCCGCGCTCCCGCCCCCCACACCTTTTCGAACTGGTGCACGCGGAAGATGCCGCGGGTGTCGCGGCCGTGCGAGCCGACCTCCTGGCGGAAGCAGGTCGAGAGCCCCGCGTACTTGAGGGGCAGGTCCTCGGGCTTGAGCCACTCGTCCCGGTGCAGCGCCGCGATGGGCTGCTCCGACGTCGCGATGAGGTACTTCTCGTCGATGGAGCTGTCGTCGGCCTTCTCGCTGCCCTTGCCGATCACCTGGGGGAGCGAGGGTGACTGTCCCCTGTCCCCAGCTGTTCCCACGTGTTTAGGGACAAACCCTCGGCCATGGGAGATGTCACCGAGCAGCCAGCATGGGACTTCTGGGGCCGGAGGGGGAGGACGGCTCAGAAACGGGTCGCAGAAAGGGGAGCAGCTGCTGCTTGTTTGGCCTCCTTGAGAGGCCCCGGTGGCTCCTGATGAGCAAGGCTGGGGACAGAGCTGCCCCCCCTTCACAGCACTGCCATGAAAACTGGCAGGGTGGCAACCTCCCAGCAGGGACCGCACGTCCTTCCGTGGCAAAACAACGGGACCCCCGAGACAGGGAGCAGACGGGAGGCGACGCGGAGGCATCCGCGGGGCAGAGGGAATCTCGGCCGCCTCTTCCCTGCAGTGCTTCCACGCCGCGGGAGGCCAAGGCTCCGTCTGAAAGCCCGTTCCCAGAGGGATGGCCAGAGGCAGAAGCCCCCGGGCCGCTCCGCACACTCCCTCCTCGCCGCTCACCTTGTACAGCTCCTCGTCAAACTGGCTCAGCTGGGCCACCTCCTGCATCACCTCCTTGCGCATGAAGAAGGGGGTGTAGACGGGGGTGTAGCCCTTGGCGCGGAGGCTCTGCAGTGCGTACTGGATCAGGGCCTGCTCCAGGAACACCAGGGGACCCTGCGGGACAAGGGAAGCCACCTCTGCTCACAGGCACCTCCCGCCGCGGTCCCCGCTCGCCCAGCGCTCCGTCTCCTGGCTCACGCTCCTTTTCCACCTCGCGCTCGGCTCTGCCTCTTGCTCCAGTTGTTTCTTTCCCTCGCGCCCAGTGCTTGGGGCTCTCACCTTAAGGAAGTAGCCCCGGCTGCCAGCGACGATGGCTCCCTTCTCTCCCTCGTACCCATCCACCATCACCACCAGGTCCACGTGGGAATACTTCTTCCTGCACGTGCAGTCCCCCCAGATTCGCTCTACCTTGTTGTCTGCGTCCTGCGGGAAGAGGAGGGGGAACCGATCATCTCTGCCATGTGGGAGCGTCCCGATCTGGACCCCAAGAGCCAGAGGCTTGAACCTCAACGTGGCTCCCTGCTGGTCACAAATTATGCGGCCCCTTGGCTGCCAGCCCATCCCGATTGTGTTTCCCCAGCAAAATATTCCCGCTGGATGAATAAAGGCAGCAGAGGGAGATCCCAGCCTTTGGCTTGGAGTGAGTTTCCCACGTATTCCCCGGACAAAGGCAGCGCCCCGCGTCGCCGGAGTGGCTCTTTGTGCGTTCCCGGCAGGAAGCGCCGTCTTGTCATGCAGATTCCATTCAGCGCCCGCTGGAGCGCGGAGGGGACCCCCCTCCAAGGAGCCCCCGCCCGGGCGGGCGTCCCGCTTCGAGGAGCCCGGAGCTCCGTCCCCACCTCGTCATTGCTGATGGGCACCGAGGGGTGCAGGAGGTTCCCGATCTCGCGGAGGCTCTCGAAGCGCTCGGCCTCCAGCTGCACGCGCTCCGCGTCGCACTTGAGGATGGCCTCGTCGATGAGGACACGGACCTTCTTGATCTGGGACACCTGGAGAGCCTGGTGCAGGCGGACGGGTTAGGAGGGGAAGCAGAGAAAGCCCGAGCTGAGCGTAGTTGATCCCAGCCTCTCGCCCAAGCGCCACGGGCTCTGGAGCGAAACCGTGAGCTCAACGCATGGAACGGCAGGGGAAGAGGACAAAGCCGTGACATGTCGGGGTTTTTTTTTGGGGGCAGCTGGGGCCTCACACGGGGCCCGACGGCCGCCCGGGAGCAGTCAGCTCCCACGGCAGAAAAACCCGACGGGCTCCACGCTCATTAGGCATCTCAGCCGACGAAGCGGGAAGGGGAACAGACTTTTGGAGGATACACAATTACTAAGGCTGGTCAAATCCCCAGGGGAACCACAGCACAAACCCAGGGGCAGGGAACTCGCTGCCACACACCAAGGCTAAAGCAGTTTTCAGATGAGCAGCACTGAGCAAGGTCTGATTACGGCTGGCTGCGGACCAGGAGAAATAATCTCTCCCAGCGTGGGGTTTCAGGCTGTCATTTGTCACTTAGTGTCGGGGCTTTCAAACGTCCCACGCTGCCAACTCGGGCAATTACAGCTGGAGCTCAGGGCAAGCTGGATGGGTCGGTGGCACCCCGAGGCTCAGACGGAGCCGGACTCACCCCTAGGACGTCGGCCGTGAGCTCGTCCAGGTTCTGCGCGCTCTCCGGTACAGACTCATCGGTTCCCACTGGCTCTTTTTTCTGCAGAGAAGGGAAAAAAACCCACAATCAGGGTCAAGAGGTAAAAACAGAGGATAAAAATGTTCCTGAACAGCAAGGAGAGGTGTGGAGAGTGAGGGGAGCCCATGTGATCCCCAGCAGAGGTTTTGGGGACACATCCCCAGTTCCTAATGCTGCGCCGGAGCTAAACCCTGCCAGGGCCGTCCTCCCGTGCGGAAGAGGCTCTGCTGCTCCTGGCGTTGCGGGAACCCCCTGCGAGTGACGTCCTCGTCCCCCAGGTCCCCTGCGCTGCAGGGGGGCAGCTCAGAGCCTCCCTAGGCTGGACACCGGCTCCCGGGACGGAGAACACTCCCGGCTCCGAGCCTGGCTCTCCCTTACCTTCATTTTGTCTCCAATGGTTTTGCTGCAGAGGTTCTTCAGCTTGTTCAGGTTGTCAGCACGAAACCTGCCTAGAAGGAACAGCAGGGAGAGCCGTGAGCGGCAGCAGGAGCGGGAGGACACCGGGACTCCAGCGCGTTCGTGTGGGGCACATCTGGGGCCTGGCTGCAACTCAGGGCACCCGGGCACGGAGCGGGGGGGAGCTCCCACACGGAGCTTTCCTTAAAAACCCCTGGAGGGACCTTACACGGGGAGAAGGGGACAAGACCACGGCCCACAGGGCCCCCTAGAGGGGAGCTGGGCTGTCAAACCAAGCGGCTGCGGGCGGGAGAGGGGACAGCAATGACGTCCCCGTGAGGCGCAGAGTCAGGCCCGAAGGGGTAAAAGCCCCAAAGGCTCTGGGGGGTTAAAGGCAGGGAGCGGGGACAGCAGCAGCGCCAAGGGCAGCGCGGTCGCGCGGGATTGCGTCAGCCGCCGCGGGGACGGCTGCTCCGCAGGATGGAGGGAGCCAGGGGAAACACCCGGCGTCGCAGAGCTGGGCCGGGCGCTTTCCCATGAAGGCAGCCGAGTTAAAAGCACCTTTAAAGGCCCCGCCGAGTTGAAAGCACCTTTAAAGGTCCCTTTCATCCCGCGGCCTCGGGGCGGGGGGGGACGGCAGCGCCCTGGGAGCTGGGCGGATGCAGGTGCCGGGTCCCCCCCTCTCCCTGTCCCGCTCCCGGTGCCACGGGGCACTTGGCTCCACTCCCGCCCCTGCGGATTGCGCGGACACGGTGCTGCCCCCCCGGCAGGGCCTGCCCTGCTGGATCACCCGTGGGGAAGGGGGGGGCTCCCAGGCCG